GGATGAGCAGAACAAGAAAGACGATAATACGGAAACCAACGTAATAAGCAAATTCCTCAGCACTTTTTTAAAGCTTTTTTGAAATAAGAGCATAGTGTCATCGACAAAGTAATCAGTAACCTCTTTCTTTAAAAAATGCAATCTTTTGTGAGTGGCTCTCAATAACACGCTGTAACCCACTAATCCTCGAACTAGAATCGTAAATAATCATGCTTATCAGGTTGTAGATCGTCTGCCCACATACACATTATATAAAGTCATCTGCTTCGTTTTTTCTGGTTCTTATTACTCTTCCAGGTGTACGATATCAACACAGTAACGATTTTGGGTACTGAATATAGTAGTTCAAAAGATCACTCTAAATGGGGAGTTTCAATGGATGAAAAGGTGCCCGCCGTTTGTATTGGCGATGTGAACAGACAGGTTTGCTGCATGATGTCAAAGTGTGGTGATTTTAAGAGAAAATATTGATTCTTAGGAATCACAATTCAAACGTGGCGGTGGTGCTGTTTGCATTCAAGATCGCAAGCTATGGAAAATCTTTTACGGCTCTGTTGGTGCATATGACAACTGCAAAGGCGTATCTACCCAAAGTGAGTAACAACTGTATTTGCACGTTATATATGTCATAGCTGAAAAATCCCTATTTACTAAATTGAGGCTCTAAGCATCAACATAAACGACTGGAATAACAATCACTTGCACAGATATTCACTCCTGCAAGAATAAATATGCATTGGAAGTTTACCAACTTAATAGTACTTTTGAATTTTCGCATTGTCCGAAACCGTACCGTAAAGCAAAAAGAATGCATAGGAAAGGGTGAAACGATAGAAATGTCTGAAATATTTGCCATGTTTCATCATATTCTGAAAATTGCTGCAAAAACCGTAAAAACGAATGCTACTTATTGCTGAGACAGTCTTCAGATGTGCATTCCTCCTAAAAACGGGCCTAAGGTTAATGAGAACACTTGCATTTTTTGGATAGCGCACAGAACGCGGCTTTTTTTCTACGTATTTAGATGTAGTTGTTTTACTCACGCTTTTCCATCTCGGAGGATATCGCTTGGTTCGTGGTTCCAACAAAATATGAGTGCTAGTCAACAGCGAGATAATTCAGATGCTCATGTCGCTTTCGTCCAATTCATTGGTGCAGTGACAAAAAGATTGTTGGCAGTATTCAAATGTGTAACACATTTTTTTCTTCAAATTGGAGGAATGAACAACTTCAACGCTGCAAGTGCACTTTACCACAAAGTCAATACATTCACACATTCATTGAAAAATAGGAAGTCGATTGAAATTTTTGGAGCGACCTCAGTCTTGGATAAGTTTGGATAAGACATCCAGAAACGAAACGTTTATCACAAACTTTTTACGCTGTCCAACCTTCTTAGATATATAATTTTCTTGACTCTAAACTCTCTTACGCACTGCACCACTTTTACGCAAGAAGTACTTTTATTAGGTGCATGTATTGTGGCTGTGCCACTTGTTGCGTTCACTAAGTTGCAAGCACATAACGAAAGCTACATGGAAGTATGTAGTACCTTGAAACTACCTTCTATGATAATGTTCGACACCAGTTCTGAATGGCCTATCGCCTTTTTTATATATTCCTGTAAAAAGCAATTTTATTAGGTTGACTACATGCAGTTCAACTATAAAGTTTCCTGACATCATTGAACCTGTGAAATAAAAAATTGGAGGCTAGAAGTTCAAAACTTGAAGA